TTTGATGGAGTTTTGCCCAGCAGTAAAGAAACATGAAATCATGAAATTTGCACATAAAATGATGGAACTAGAAATTGTTATACTAAGTGAAGTAACAGATTCAGAAAGAAAATCGACATATGTTCTCCCTCATATGTGGGTCCTAGAACCAAACCCTGGTAAGTATGTATCCAGACATAACTACAGGAACCAGGATAATGGAAAGGAACCAGGGAAGTAAAGGAAAAGAAAGAACCTGAAAGAGAACAGTAGGAAACAGGCTCAATAACGGAAATATGGATAAAAATTGGGTTAGTTTAAGGGAGGGGGGAGGGAAGGGTATACAAAGAACCTAGGCGATAAAGGGAAAGAGAGAGCTCAAGAGAGGTAGGACCGTAGGATAAGGGTATTAATAAGGGAGAAGGGGGAAATGGGGGCACCTTAAGTGGGGAAACCATGATGGAGGGGTGAGACAATGTGAGAGATATATAATGCCTAGCTAGTTTTAAAAACCAGAGGGAACCATATTACTCCAACAACCTACCGACAAATTATACATAGCAAATAAATATATGTCTCGGTAAGGTTTATCTGAGAACAATAGTTCTTTGCCCAAGATTTATCTGCATGACACACAGTAATTAAAAGTACCAGACTGGTGGAGCTAACCTTCTTGGATGTTTAACAGACATACTTTGAGGCCTATACTAATTTGGTCAGAGGGACATAAAGGACAGTTTTTGCTCCTTGCCCTCCCAGGTCGACTAGTTCCAGGGGACTATGAGCGTCTCTCAAAATGTCCTGTAATTGTGGTGGGTCACCTGTCCTCTTGATCAACTAGGCTGAGGAGACCCCACCAGATGGGCTTGAACCAGTGTCCAGTCTACAAAAGGAGGGTCAACACAGAGGAATAATTTCCTCCATGCTTGCAAGCAAAGACTACTATGGTCAAGCAGGACATTTGACTTAACTTCATATAGGCAGAACTGGTGAAAGAAAGGATCTAGGGACTCCTCCCAAGCCCATTCCATGTGATCCCTCATGAACCAATCCTGAAATGACCTTAAGAGTAAAAATAAGTTTGTTTATCTGGGCCAACTCTATGGCCTTAAACACCGAAAAGGAAAGTAGAACCAAAGATTAAAGGGGCCAATATAATTTCTTAAGAGTCCATGAGTCCATATGCATAGCTAAAGGCTACATAAGAAGCAATAATGCTAGATAGGAGATACCTTCTTTTGAGTTGTTAGCTAGGGTGGTGCAAGAGACTCCCAGACAGTAACCCAGCATAGAACTGAGAAAATGAACAGCAGACCCCAATCTTATCTAAAGGAATATTGACAACTGATTGCTGCTAGGTCAGGAACGGCTGACCGTCCTAAAACAAAGATAGGCTGACTAGATTCACCAGATGGACAAGTAGTGGGGAATGGCTGGGGTGCTGACAACACAGCAGACAGTAGCAGGGATATCAGAGTATATGGGCTCTAGTGGGGGGAGGGAGGCTATGGGAGGGTGCTATCTGTGAAGTGGGTGTATAGTTGGGTAAGATGGTTTGGGATGTTCTGTGTGATATACGCACAAAAAAATCAACAAATTAAAAAAAATGTATTATATTTGAGGAAGAAGCATGGAAATTTACGTCATGTTAATTAGTAGAGGTGATAAACATTACCACTGAAATCTACCCGATGACTTTATAGACATACAGAGGTGCCAGGGATCCAAGTGCAACCGATTATGACTAGTAATAATCAGATACACACAGAGTAGAGATGCAAGTGCCAACATCTCAGTGTTAGTAGCGAAAACAATGAGTCTGTCTGCAAGGAACAATATAGTCTAAAATGAACTGAAGATGTTTTTTAAAGGTTCAAAACTCATTCAATTTTATGTCTTATGGGGCTTATACTGAGTTCAATATTGTATAACTGTATTAATTCAACTGTGAACCTAGAAACTTATAGCCACTTGTGAAAGAGATGTACTCTTGCTCTGGAGTGTGTTACTGAATATGTTAAAGCTGTAATGACATGCTTCTTCTAATCATGTAGTTATTAAAAATTAAAAAAAAATTTACTTCATGTTAAATAGTAGAGGTGATAAATACTACCAGTGAAAGCTACCTGATGACTTTATATCCATACTCTGGTACTAAGGATCCGAGTGTAACTGACTGTGACTAGTAATAATCAGATACGTAGAGATTAAAGACACATGTGCAAACGTGTTAGTAGCATTAAAAATGTAGGAAACAGCATATCTCAAAATGAAATGGAGATCATCATAGGGTAAAAACTCATTCAATTTTGTGTCTTATAGGGTTTATACTGAGTTCAATATGGTATAATTATTAATTCAACTGTGAACCTAAAAATTTACAGCCATCTTTGAAAGAGATGTATCTTTGCTCTGGAATGTGTTACTGAATATGTTAAAGCTGTAATGAAATGATTCTTCTAAAAAATAAAAAATAAAAATAAAGATGAAAAAAATTCTGTATTTAGTGATATTGTCATCTAGTACACTCCTTTCCTCCCATGGATCTCAGCTGAAATGTTCGAAGTTCTGTCTAGGTAGAACCTTGCACAAAGTGAAGGAAGCCTCCCTTCTGAGTCTGGTGGCTGAGATCTAGTTGGGTAGGTGTTCAGCTCTGGAATGAGAGTTAATATTTCATACTCATCAGGACAGTCGAACTATCCAAAAGCTACTGGTGAGCTCACACCAGACAATAGAAAACTAATGGTATTTTCCCTGCTGTTGGGTTCCTTGTTTCCTTGAGAATGCCCTGGGAGGCACGTAACATGGTACTGCATCCCCATACTGCTGTTAAGGCGGATGCCAGCCTCTGCAGGGAACTTCATAGCCAAGCTTTGTGGGAATATGTGCCCATTGCTATTTGAAATTTCTACCAGTGGACACATAGAGATGAAATTTCTGCCAGTTTGACACATAGAAACAAGAGTTAGAGAAGATTTGTGCACAGTGTTTGTACATGTACCTTCTGTCTGTCTATTTTTGTGGTATATAGATTGAACTCAGTACCTGGCACATGCTTGGCAAATGCTCTACCACTGAGCTACATCCAAACCCCTTTTAATTTTTAAATTTTCACACCGATTCTCACTAAATTGCACAGGCTGGCCTTTCTGTCTCCCTTTCCAGGGTGGCTGAGATTATAAGTGAGTGCCACCAGCACCATCCAATTAATGCGTTGTTAGGGATTAGAGAGAGAGGATCCTGCAGAAGAGATGAGATACATATGTAGGGGAGTCTTAAATTTTAAAGTAGGAAGTTTGGAATTTACTCACTTGAGGATGGATAGCTTTTGAAGGTTTTCAATACAAGAATGCACCAGTATCAAAACTGCATTTGGATGGTCAGTCAGGAGCTGAGCTGTATGGTGAAAAGGAGCAATTCTGCACACAGATAAGGTAGTCTTCCCATCATCCAGAAGATCAGTGATAATCAGTTCGGTTGCTGGCACTCAAAATTCTGAAACAGTAGGTCCTTTTTCTGAGACAGAATCTAGGCTGGCCTCACCCCAGGGCCCTCCTACCTTTCTTCTGAGGGCTGTGAATACAGATGTGCACCAACCTGCCTTTCTGGGAAGAAGTATTAAGAGAAATTAAGAGGTCATATTTATTGAAGGATGATGGGGAATTAGGGTTTGAGGGTTGAGGATTTCAGTGTGGATGATGAACATTTGAATGAGAATTAGGGAGTGGTGCTGGTGGTGCTTGCATGGAGTATCACTATGCCTGCCTTTGTCTGAATTCCTTTATACTCTCATCCACAGTCTGAGAGTTCTCTTTACCCACAAATTGAAGATATAGATTAGTCATGTACTACATTTTTGACAATTTTATAGGTGTAAAATGGTATCTTATGATTTTATTGTTGGGCGTCTCAATAATCTATGCTAGTTTTCTATCTATATTTGTTTTCCTTCCCTTATCATTACTTGTATTTAAGGTCCAGGATAATGAATTACTTTATAAATATTAAGCACACGTGTTATATACTGTAACACTTAGAACTTGGAAATATTTAAATATAATCTGTTAGTTCTTTCATTCATAATGAGTACATTGCATGATTAAAAATTACTGCTCTAAGTCAGGTTTGTTGGTACATGTCTGTAATCCCAAAACTCAGAAGGTGGATTACAAGTTTGAGGGCAGCCTGGACTATATGGAGAATCTCTGTAAAAAATAGATGAATCAAACAAAATAAATCAGTAGACTAGACTAGTTCAATGAAAAACTTCTAAGTAGTATGTGTAAAGCATTTTGCTGAATTAAACCTATTGTAAATGTTTTTAAAGATCACAGTAGTACTTTGGATTGACAGTTTGAAGTATGTTGTACATACCATTATCATAGTATGAGAATTTCCCCCTCTTACTCATTTTTTTCTGTCAAATGTTCCATTGGCCTCTTTCAGTGCTATCAAGGTGGACTGTTTGAACATCAACTGCATTCCTGTGAAGACCGTGATTGATGACCTCATCCAGAAGCTATTTGACCTGCTGGTTCTTTCGTTGAAGAAATCCATCCAAAGTAAAGACCTTAAATTTTCATCCTCAGTTTGTGTGTAGAGCCATGTATATGTGTATTTCTAGTTATAAAATGTGAGTCTTAATTAAAAAGCAGGAAAGCCCGCCTTCATCCTCAGAGATTTAAAAATTGAAGACATTTCTATTATTTGGAGTATAAGCTGGTATTAGTTTGTTGCATGTGTTACTGAGAAAGATAATGATTCTGGCATAATGTATTTCTCTTTATGCAAGGGATAAATTAAGATATTTTAATATTATTTATAAGACTGGAAAGGTTTCTGATTATTAGTAAAGGTAACTAAGAATGAATACATTTAAATTTTTTCTCAAGCAATTTTAAGTACATTGTAAAACAAACCATTATGGGAGGAAATTAGTTTCAGTCTGCATTTAAAAATTTTGTTATATGAAAACAAATGGTAATTTAGAACTCAACATATTTTTCTAGTGATTACTTCTAACACTTCTTGATTTAGCAGTTATGTAACTGATTATATTTTTGATAATAATAATGTCTTCTATTCCATCGTCACCTGTTTCAGCTCATATACATGATATTGATACATTTGTTACTGAGGCTATGAAAATCTTAATAGTTATTCCTCAGTCCGTGGAAGAAATAGGTTATGCAAATTTACAGTACAGTAACCTGCAGGAACGGAAGCCAGAGGTGAGACTCACAAAATAATGTTATTATTATTACTAATTTACTGTGTAGAGATGTTTAAGTATTTTGTGCGATTATTTAGACTTGTATAATCTCCACATTATGAAGAGGTCCATGTAATAATGTGGCCCAGCTAGTCAGCCCACAGTTGAATTCTTGCTGTATTGGTGTCATGAAACAATAACAGCTTAATGTTTTGTATTATTTTTAGAGGCATTTGAAGTTTATTTGATGATGTTCTGTATTAAAGTAACAGTAAACTTAGGTAATTCATACTGTTATCTTCAGAATTAGAATTCTAGTGTGCTAAAATATGACGTTAGAGCTGAATTAGAAACAGATACAGCATGGAAGAGCTAACTCATAACTAAAGATGAGTGGTAACAATTCATAAAAGCAGAATCCAGAGCAGAGTGAGCCCAGAATAATCAAGGCAAAGATTGTAGAGCATACTGTAAAGTGACTTACATTATGTTTACAGCAAGAAGGAAAAGAATTCAAATAAGAACAAACTTTTACATATCCCCACCTCAGTAACAGATTTCAAGTTATAAAGAGAGTTTATAGGTAAAAAATATAATGTACCTCATAGTGGAAGGATTTGCAGACTTTTATGAGTTCGGCTTAAAGACATAAAAGAGGGTTTAAAATAAACAAATGTAAAGGGGAGGTACTGTACTGTAGGAAGGAAGTACTGTGAGCTGGGGCAGGTAAGAAAAACAGGTAAGAAGTGTATTTGTTAGTTCATTTCTTTGACAGATGCTTGTAGTTCATCTGATGTATTCCAAGCAGTGGACAAGGAGTTGGAGAAGCAGCTGTGAATGTTCTGTTCTCATAAGAATGTGCATTTCTCTGTGTGTGTGTGTGTGTGTGTGTGTGTGTGTGTGTGTGTGTGTGACAATGTGACGAAGTTGAAGTCAGGGAGAAGGGTAAGAGGAAGGAGCTGGTAAATTAGGGGCATCACTTAGTGTAGGTGACGATGGAAGTCCTTTTAAGGAGACAACATTGAACTGATAGCTGAAGACAAGCAGGAGACAACCCTTGTGGTCTGGGGACTGGCCATCCTAAAAGCTGCAGCTAGCCTGGATGGGAAGGCAGGGAAGAAGTCTGCTCCACCCCAGGAACAAATAGCTGGAAATGTTATCAAGAAAGTGAGTTATCTCGGCAGCGTCATGTTCAAAGAAGGAGAAGGCATGAGGCAAAAGTGGAAAGGGAGGTGACATAATTTAGACAATTAGAAGGGCTTTGGATTTTTTTCCAAGTATAATGAAAAGTCAGCAGATGGTTTTAAGAGGTGACACCACATAGCGAACTTGAGGCCAACCTGGGTTTCCTGAGACCTTGTCCTATCGCTGATTCACACTCCGATTTGTGTACGTGCCTCACATTTTCTTTATCCATTGGTTGACAGCCATCTAGACTGATTCCGTGTCTTCGCTGTGGTTGGCTAACTTAGGTTCCTTTGGGCATATACCCAAGAGTGGCACTAGGAACTGTAGGCAGTCCTGTGTTAAGGTCTTTGTGGAACGTTTGCAGTGATTTGCACAGTGCTGTTGCAGTGGACATTTGCTGCAGCCATGCACAGAGGCTCCTCTTTGTCATATCTTTGTGAGCATTTGTTACATCTTTTTCTTGATAGTAGCTGTTCTGATGGGGGAGATGGAATTTCATGTAGTTTTAATTTACTTTTCCCTGATGGCTAAGAATGTTGAACATATTTTTTTATAGATATTTATTGGCCTTTTTATATTTCTTTTTTTTTTTGAGAATTCTTTGCTAAATTCATGCGTCTGTTTATTATTTGGGTGATTTTTTGTTACTTAATTTTTTGAGTTTTTTATAGATTCTAGATTTTAAACCCCTCTTACATATGCGTAGCTGGCAGAGACTTTCTGGCATTCTGTGGGCTGTTTCTTCACTCTGCTGACTGTTTGCTTTATTGTGCAGAAGGTTTTTAATCTCATGCCTACAACTGCATCTTGAAGTGCTTTTCTCTGACAGCTTCAAGTCTCATTTCTTAAGGTTTCGATCCATTCTGAACTGAATTTTTTTTTTTTTTTGTACAGGGTGAGTGGGATATAATTTCATTCTTCTACATGTGAATATCCAGTTTTCCCATTTCCTGAGGAGCTGTCTTTTCTCCAATATTTGTTATTAGCACCTTTGTCCCCAGTCGTGTGGCTGTGGCTGTGCAGGTTTCTTTTTAGGTCCTCTGTGCTGTTCCTTTGGTCTGTGTGTTTCTTTGTCAGCACCATGCTGTTTTTGTTATTATTGCTGTGTAGTAATGTTTGATATCAAGTATTAGGTGCCGTTAGCATTGTTCTTCCTGCTAAGGATGCTGTGGCTATTTGGGACCTTTTGTGCTTCCATGTGTATTTTAGGATTGGTTTTTCTAGTTCTGTGAAGAATGTCATTGGGATTTTGATGGGGCTTGAATTAAATCTATAGATTATTTTGGTAACATAATTTTCATATTAATTCATGAACATAGCGGGTCTTTTTTCTTCTAGTATTTTATTCAGTTTCTATTTACAATGTTTTAAGCATTGTAGTGATCTTTCATTTCTTTGGTAAAGTTTATTCCTAGGTATTTTAACTTTTAAAAGCTATCATGAATGAGATTTTTTTCCCTGATTCTTTCTCAGTAAGTTTGATATTGATATATAGAAAAACTTGGGGCTGGAGACATGGCTCAGTGGTCAAGAGCACTGACTGCTCTTGCAGAGGACCCAGGTTCGATTACCAGCACCCACATGGTGGCTACGAATCATCCTTAGCTCCAGTTCCAGGGGAATCCAAAGCCCTCTTCTGACCTCTGCAACATTGCACGGCATGGGTACACTCACATACATGCAGACAATGCATTCATACACCTAAAATAAAATAAAAATAATAAAGTATTGAAAAAAGAAAAACTGATTTTTGTATGTTGACTTTGTATCCTGTTACTTTGCTGAAAGCATTTATTAGATCTAAGAAGTTTTTCATGTGTTAGGGTCTTTTTAAAGTATTGGATTATGTTGTATGCAAATAGGTATATTTAGCTTCTCTTTTATATCTATTTTATTTATGCCTTGCTTTTTTGCTCTAAGACTTCAAGCACCATATTGAATAAGAATGGAGAGTGGATGCCTTGTCTCATTCCTGGTTTTAGTGGGAATGCACTCAGTGTTTCCATCATTTAGCATAGTATTGCCTATAGATTGGCTATCTATAACCTTTACTATGTTGAGGTGTGTTCTCTCTAGTCCTGGTTTCTTCGGGGCTTCTGTCATGAAAGGATGTTGGACTTTGCCAAAGGCCTTTCTGTCTCTGTGGAAATGATCATGTGATTTCTGTCCTCTAGTTCACTTATTTGCTTGTGATGACCAGTCTTGGTTGTCAACTTGACACACCTGGGAAGAGAGAACCTCAGCTGAAGAATTTTCTCCATCAGGTTGCACTGTGAGCATGTCTGGGGACATTTTCCTGATTGCTAATTTATGTAGGAGGGCCCAGCCCGCTGTGGGCAGTGCATCCCAAGGCAGGTGGGCCTGAGCTGTATAAGAAAGTTAGCTGAGCAAGCTGGGTGGGGCAACCAGTAAGTGCTTTCCTGCATGGTCTCTGTGTCAATTCCTGCCTCCAGATTCCTTCTGTGACTTTCTTCTGTGATGAACTGAAATGTAAGATGAAATAGACCTTTTTCTCCCCCAGGTTTTTGGTCAGAGTGTTTCATCACAGCAGCAGAAAGGCAAAGTAGAACAGTGCTGTGTTAAATTCACTGATCTGAATCCATTTAACCATCCTTGCATGCCTGAATGAAACTGGCTTAATCATGGTGTATAATCTTTTTAATGTGTTGTTAAACTCAGTTTGAAAGTACTTTATTGAGAATTTTTGTATTATGTTCATCAGGAAAATTAATCTGTACTTTCCTTTTTTCTGTTATGTTTATCTGGTTTTGGTATGAAACTTTCATTATTACCTTGTGTTTTTTTGTGACCAGGTTGCATGCAGTCAGTCCCCAGTCGCCTCGGACTCACTGTAGTGGAGCAGGTTCTTGGGTTCCTGCCTCTGCCTCCCAATTATGCTTTTCCTCCCTTTAACTTCCGATGTTAGAGTGCCTTTCAACTTAATTATAAGCACCAGAAATCTTATATCTAGGACTACAATAGATTATTTAAAAGCAAAAAAGGTAAAAAAAGGAAAAAAATAAAAAAGCAAAAAAGATTTAAAATAAATCTTATTAGCTTTCAAAATAAAAAGCAAATTATGAAATAAGAATTAATGACATTTGAGTGATTTGATAAAATGATGTATCACTGTTTTTTTTAACCTTCAGATTTTGCCCTTGTTTCAAGAAGCTGAAGATAAAAACAGACTTTTACGAACTGTGGCAGGTGGAGGGTTAGAATCGATTAGTAATCTGAAAGCCAAGTGGGATAAATTTGAGTTAATGATGGAAAGTCACCAGCTTATGATTAAAGATCAGGTGAGAACCTCTTAGATATACTTTTGAAATGGAGACAGTTTGTTTTCCCTTAAAACTTCGCCTGTATTTATTTCAGAATAGCCCCATTTTTTTTGTTTTCTTTTTCTTTTGGTCTTTTTGAGACAGGGCCCCAGCTGGCCTGGAACTTGATATGTAGACCAGGCTGGCCTTGAACTTTTAAAGATCCTTCTGCTTCTGCCTCCCAAGTGCTGGGATTAAAGGCATGCGCCACCATGCCTGGCCTAGAATAGCTTGAGTTTAATGTTGCTATTAAAATTGACCTCCCTCAGTTCTTTTTATAACATTTTATTACTTACTGTAAACAGTGATTGTTTCATATGGTGTGTCTTTACTTCTTATGATACCAAGAAGAAAAATGTCTCTTTAAAATCTCTTATTTTTGGCTTTATGAATAAATTTTTTATCGACTGAAAGTACTTTATATTGATTTCTGAAATTCAGGTTCTTTTTTTAATTACTCAGCTTAATAATATCTGAGTTGATTTTTCTAGAGAAGATCCCATAATTATGGCTGGTATCTCTCCCTCAAGCTAAAATGATGCCTCTGGGCTGTAATTTTGTCCAAGGCCCACATTTCTTGGTTTAATTTCCTGCCCTCTCTTGAAGTATTGTCTAGGGTGGTTTAATACAACATCTACATCTCCTGCTTTGTGGAGGGAGAAAAAGAAGGAAGGAAGAGGGCCCATTTGTCTTTTAAATACAAGCTGGAGATTGCACACACCATTGCACTCATATCTGTTGCCTGACATTAGTGTTTTAACCCACAGCTGCAGAGCAGACTAGGGAATGACTTCCGTTACTAAGCATTTACTCTTAGATGAACAGCCAGCACTCTGAATTTTTCTTGACATCACTTTTGTTTATAATTTTAGGGGTGCTGTGAGATGTTTGATTTTGTTAGCTGACAAGTATTTCTCAGTATTGAAATTTATACTCTGATTTGTGTTGTTGGATCGCCTTATTCTCGTTGAAATCAACAAGGTAGACACGGCCTTCCGGTCTTGGTGCTTTGTTACCTCTGAACAAACATTGGAAATGAAAACAGTTTCTCCTCTGTGCTCACTGGTTTAAACTCTTTTGTCTTGTAGATTGAAGTGATGAAAGGAAATGTTAAGTCACGTCTTCAGATCTATTATCAAGAACTGGAAAAATTTAAAGCTCGTTGGGACCAGCTGAAGCCTGGTGATGATGTTATTGAAACTGCCCAGCAGAATATTCTTGATCAAAGTGCACAATCTATAAAGGAGAAAAAGATTGAATTTGATGACCTTGAAGTCATAAGGAAAAAGCTGGTGTATGTTTTTTCTTTTATAATTGATGACATTTACTTGTCTTTTTGAGATGGTCAGCTCTGCCTGGTCTGGAACTCGATGTGTAGACCAGGCTGGCCTCGATCTCACAGAGATCTGCCACCTTCTGCCTCCCTAGTGCTGGGATTAAAGGTGCATAACACCACACCCGGCAACTTTAGAAAATTTTAAACTACAAATAATACATGTTTTGTCACTGCTTCCTTAGGAGCTTTGGTTGGTCTATATAAGGCTGTTAAGATAAATTGTCAAAAAGGAGTTGAGATAGATTAGAACATTACATTTGCTTGCAGGTTAAATTAAGAGGTTGAAATATTTACTGTCGTGATCTCATCCTATTTAAAAATGGAATTATTAAGTTTTAGAAAAGTACTGTTAATGCCTTTTTCAAAAAAAATGAATCTAGGGGCTGGGGAGTTGGGTCCACTGTGGGTAAAGCATAGAGCCTCAGCACACATGAAGGCAGGGTGTGGTCCTAGTGCTAGAGGCATGGAGATGGGATTATCCCTAGGCTTGCTGGGCAGCCAGCCTACCAAGAGTGATGCCCTGCAAGTTCAATAGGAGACCCTGTCTCAGAAGAATAGGCAGAGAGTGATAGAGGAGGCTGCCTGACATCCCCGCTGAACACACACACACACACACTCTTATTATTTTACTAAAATAATAAGACATACAGGAAGGATGTCTTGCCGGATTACCTTTTTAAAGTTTATTTTATGTATATGAATGTCTTGCCTGCTTGTCTGTAAGTGTACCTATGCATGCAGTGCCTGCGGATGTCAGAAGGGGATATCAGAACTCCTGGAACTGGAGTTACAGATGGTTGTTAGCCACCAGGTATGGAAAACTGTACCTGGGTCTTCTGCAAGAGCAGCCCGTACTCTTAACTGCTGAGCCAGCTATTCAACCCCTTGCTGGATTATCTTACCCATCACACCAATTACTAGATTTGAACAATGTTTTATTTGGTTTATATGAGTAAATATATCCCTAAAATAATGGATCATAGGAGAGTGGAGGTTTTCTATCACACATAATAAATGGTATTATTCCAAGTAGATGAAGAATGTCTTGTATAATCCAAACAGTCCATAGACTTATAAAATGTAAAGCATTTATGTATGTTGTATACATAAAAATGCCTCTCCACGTGCTATCTATTCATTGCTGAAAGCGTCGCATTTGCCCATTCCATGAGTAAGGTAAAATTCCCACATGAGTAGGAAGTCTCCTATGTGTCTCAGCTGGAAACCGTGTATACTGTGTATACCAGAATTTTGTTAAGTAACTTGATACCTCGCTGTGTCTCTATAAATCCCATATTTTACTGTTTCTTTCTGTAGTGATGATTGCCATCATTTTGGACTAGAGGAACCTAACTTCTCCCTGGCATACAGCATCTCTAAGGACATCGAGAGCTGTGCACAGATTTGGGCCCTTTATGAGGAGTTCCAGCAAGGATTTCAGGAAATGGCCAGTGAAGATTGGATTACTTTTCGGTTTGTTTCTAAAACTTTATTTTGATGCTTATGACTTGGTCATTTTGAGCAGTGTGTGCTTTAGTATGTGTTCTTGTTATTTTACAGGACTAAGACCTATATGTTTGAGGAATTTTTGATAGACTGGCATGACAGGTTAAGGAAGACTGAAGAGCATTCAGTTATGACAGTGAAGCTGCAGTCAGAAGTTGACAGATACAAAGTAAGCTGTTCTCTGGTCATTGAAAGTGGTGTTTGCTGCTCCTGTTTATGGTTTTACTGTTTAGTGTCTGAACCACAGTTTTAACTTGCTGTATTTTTCTGTTCAGTTCTTCCAGTGTGTGTAAAAGGGGAACCAGTACAGACTGTATAAAGCACAGCTATTTCCTCTTCTAGCTAGAAAGAAATTGTAAAGATGGAATTTAGAGTATTCATTTTGCGTTAATAAGGATTAAACCTGGGGCCTTGTGCAGTAATGAGGGTTAAAGCTAGGGCCAGGCAAGACTGCCAGCTGAACCTTATCCCAGCAGAACTTGCATTTGGCATTACAAGGTGTTTGTATATCCTAGGCAGCAGGGATACATTCCACATTGTGTTTTAGAATACATTAAACTACAAATGGAATTTGCATGTATTTATAGTAGTGTTTAATAAAGAATTATATATATAAAATTCTACGTAAAAATGTGATTGCAAAATTTTTAAGTCAGATAACAGTAATTAAAATTCTGAGAGCCAACATGAAGATAAGTAGCTTGTTATTTTGTATATCACAAAATGTGTGTTTGCTCCTTACTTTTTATTCCCTAATAGACTGCAGTTCCTATCCTGAAGTATGTGAGAGGGGAGCATCTTTCTCCAGACCACTGGCTTGACCTTTTTCGTCTGCTTGGCCTTCCCAGAGGGACTAGCCTAGAGAAATTGCTGTTTGGTGACCTGCTCCAAGTAGCTGATACAATTGTAGACAGAGCTTCAGACCTTAAAGTGAGATCTCTTTTACACATGGGACATTTGTTAATCTTTAAGTAAGACAAGTCAGAAGTATTTCTTCTGGTAAAGTAGTAACCGTGTTCTATTGGTCTATTATTTTTAATTAATAATACAACTGAATCTGTCAGCACTGAAGAGGAGGTTATAGAAACAGTAGTAGACTCCCCTTCTGAAAGAAATTAAAAATAGGAAATATTAACAGTCTTTTAGGGGAGTCAGCTATACTAATAAAGCTAGCAAATACAAATCATTTATTTAAAAAATTTAAATCGTGTTATATTGTGAATAAAAGCTAGATGACAAAATCAAGACAGCTAAGCTAATAAAAATGGTTGATCAGTCAGGTTTCAAAGCTGTCTTAAGGGCTGGAGAGGTGGCTCAGTGGTAGGAGACCGGGATTTGGTTCTCAGCACCCATGTGGCAGTTAACAGTTGTCCATAATTCCAGTTCCAGGGGATCTGACATACATGCAGCCATATTACTCATATACATAAAAAATAAATTAATTAATAAAAATGTTTCAAGTAAAATTAAAATTTCATGATTTTGTCAGGAATGGCAGACTTTGTGTATTGTGTTCTGGTGATTCATGATAAAACAGGAAGTTCTTGATGTCATATTTAATTTCCTATCAAAAATGCAAACCTTTGTCAGTCATCCTAGAACATGATTTTTAATCTGAGAGGTTTTGACATGATTCCTGCACAAAAATAACTGATTGTTAATCACCTTAGATACAAAGGAATTTACAGGAAGATTACCATAATATTTCTGTAGTTCTTTCTCCCAAATCCTGGCTTTCTGTAAAACGTTAAATAAGCCATACTAGCTTTGTCTGTTGTGGTAGATGCTTGAATTTTCTGTTATCATTTTGCTGTTTTATTTTTAATTTGTGTGTATGTGTGTGATATTATACATATTTGTCTGTGCATGCAGCGCATATGGAAGCCAGAGGTTGATACCACATATCCTCCTCTGGCTCTCCACTTTCATTTTTGAGGCAGGGTCTTTCATTTAACCTGGAGCTCACTGATAGGATAGTCTGGCTGACCATCAAGCCCCAGAGACCCTCTATCTCCACTCCCTAGCTCTGGGGTTACAGATCTGTCTTGCCTTGTCCAGCTTTCACTTGGGTGCTGAGGATCCAAATTCAGGCCTCATGCATGCAAAGCAAGCACTTTACCCACTAAACTTTATAGACAGGAAAAGCATAAGGCAGAAGTTTATATATACTTGGGTCATGTGAACATGGATACTTAATCTTTAATTTGCCTGATAAAATAACTAGTTATTTTCTAGGATTACATGCAAAAGATAATCCATTAAAATTTTTTCCTTATGGTGAAAATTCAGATGAAACGATATTTTTTATAAAGTACATGTGTGTATTTTGTATAGTTTTTCTTAGTTTTGTCTGTCCTCATTAGGCAGGGACTCATGCTGTCCATGCTGGCCTCCAACTCACCATGCTGCTGAAGATGACTCCTCATCTTCCTACCTCCACTTCCCAAGTGCTGGGATTGCAGGAATGGACTACCATAACCCAATAAAGTATATATTTCTTATGGTGTATTTTGGGATAATTAATTTTGAAATAACAAGTATGAATATTTTATGTTAACTAGGACTTAAATAGTCGAGCACAAGGTGAAGTTACCATCAGAGAAGCATTGCGTGAACTTGACCTGTGGGGAGTTGGAGCAGTGTTCTCACTGGTTGATTATGAAGATAGCCAAGGTCGCACCGTCAAGTTGATTAAAGACTGGAAAGATATAGTGAACCAGGTTGGAGATAATCGATGCCTTCTTCAGTCCTTAAAGGATTCTCCATATTATAAAGGTTTTGAAGATAAAGTGTCAGTTTGGGAAAGGAAACTTGCACAGTTAGACGAGTACCTGCAGAACTTAAATCATATTCAGAGGAAGTGGGTTTATTTGGAACCTATTTTTGGCCGTGGAGCATTGCCAAAAGAACAGACACGCTTTAACAGAGTTGATGAAGATTTTCGGTCAGTACAACCTCATAGACATAAACACATATGACAGACATGCTTTTCACTTTTACTGTAACATGCTTATTAGTACAAGAATTTGCTTTGACTTTATTGGTGTCCTTTGCAATATTCAGTCTGTTTTCTAGTCTTGCAATGCTGTTTTTTTTTTTTTTTTTTAATCTTTCAGGCATTTTTGTTTTGAACCATATTGGTCTGGTCTTGTCCAATCCCCTCCCCGTCTCTTTCCCTGCTAGTTCTAGTTCCTGTATCATATGGAGTCCCTTAAGGACCAAAGGCCTCCACCATCTTCACTAGTGTCAGAATCACTTCTATCAGCTGAGGCCTTGTCTCTAACATGTACATCCTCTGTTTCTCCTCCGAGCTTCAGATCTCTTAAGTATCCCAGACAGCAGGTCAGAGCTGAATTCTTCAGCCCCGCCTCCCTTTCACTGGTCCTTTCTCTTTCTGGTTCCTATCCCAATACATGCTACCAGCAAATTGTTGACTGCGGGGCTTACTGGCTATCTTGATACCTTCCACTTTCTCCAATCCCAAGTCAGTTGTTAGCATGTTTCTAACTTAATATGTCAATATGTCTCGTACTAGTACCATCTGTTCTTCTAATTTTATGCTGTTACTTTATCTCTCACGTGGCTGCTGCACTAACCTTCTGATGAGCTCTTTGAAGTTTTTCACACAGTAACTAGGATCAACACTTCAAAGTGATTATCGTCACTTTAATTTTACTCCTGTGGGTAAACTTCTCTATGTGTGGTGTCTCCACGCAGTAGGGGAAAAGCATGATCCTCCCCTTGCCGTTTCTCCAGCCTCTGGTGCTGTTCTGTTTCTGACACTGGTGACTCTAGCCTGTAGTTTCTTAGGCAGCAATAGCTGTTTTCTAGGATCCTAGCCTGAAGCTCTTCTTCCTATTTCCTGACTTTTTTTCCATCCTTCCTACCTCAGCTTTGATAACTTCCTCAAAGAGTATTAAGTTATAGATGGCCCTAATCATCACTGTGACAGTACTTTGTACTGTTGCTTTCTAGTGTTTGTTCTACTTTTATTTTAGATATTTGAGGCATTTTTAATGCCCTCTGTGTTATTGGACCATTAGCTCTAGAATGGGGACTTAGTATTTGCTGAATGAATAGGATTTGTAAAATTTGAAGAAAAAAAATTGTAACAACATTAATTTTAGCATGATCTATTAGAAACATAATAAATTACCATTAATTATGTGTTATTTCTGGTTTATTTGAAGCACATCAAAATACAATGTCTTTATTATTTTCAGCCAAAAACCTTAACATGATTGTGAAAATAATATTTTTTGTAGATCCATAATGATTGACATCAAGAAAGACAATAGAGTGACAACGTTGACAACTCATGCAGGGATCAGGAATGCTCTCCTCACAATCCTTGATCAGCTTCAAAGATGTCAAAAATCGTTAAATGAATTTTTGGAGGCACGTATTTTTTTCTTTTTTGGTCTTTTTGGGACAGTATCTCCCTGTAGTCCTAGCTGGCCTGGAACTCACTATGCAGACCAGGCTGGCCTCAAACTCACAGAGATCCACTTTTCTCTGCCTCCCACCTGCTGGGATTAAAGGTGTGTGCCCATCACATTGGCCCAAGGCATGCATTTTTTAAAACTGTAATAAACTGTGACACACACATTTTCTTAGTTATTTGAAAAGAGAGAAAGCCTCTTGTTTTTTTCTTTTCCTTTTTGTTAGGAAAAACGGTCAGCATTCCCAAGATTTTACTTTATTGGTGATGATGACTTGTTAGAAATCCTGGGCCAGTCTACTAACCCTTCAGTGATTCAGTCTCACCTGAAGAAGATGTTTGCTGGTAAGATTCATGCTGTCAGTAAATATTTACTGGGTTTTAATTGTCAGGTATAACATTAGGCCCTTGGGTAAATGTAGTTCATACACTCAGGATTTTCAGTTATAGGGAAGATAAATTGGTAAGTTGAAGAGGAATAAATCCAGTGTGCCAGTTGGTAGGATCAGCGTAAGTATGTGGTGTAGTGATAATGTCTGTGAGGGAATTTATTTCAGTTTGGGAACATTGTGGACAAAATGATGAAATTGGAAAAATATAGAGAGCCTAGTAAAAGGAAAAAGGGCTCGGCACAGGGCAGAGGCTGTGCAAGGCCCAGAAGTGGAGGGAACACTGAGGTGAAGGTGTGAGTGATGAAAGACCATCAGCAGAGATGCCCAGCAGGCTGCTAGTTGTTCAGGGAGACCAGAGTGGAGTGGGGAGAGTTGGGAGTTCTTTTCATAGTTGAAAGTTGAGGGATGGGAATAGGAAAGATCACCTGAGGAAAATGGGATCAGTGCCGCTTGCTTTCCTGCTTTGAGTCACTTTAATTGGGTGTTGATGGCAAATGGGATAGGTTTCAGAAAGTGATGGTTTTCTCATCTATTTCACTTGTTTGGAAAAGAGATATGTTTCAAATTAACTTTTAAGAAGTAATTTTTAAAAATATACTTTGTTATAAATATATTTTATTATTTTTATTTTATGTGTATGAGTGTTTTACCTGTATGCATGTAAGTGTACCTGTGTTGTGCAGTGCCCACAGAGGTCAGACAAGGGTGTCAGATACCCTGGAACTGGAGTTAGGGATGATTGTTACCTGCCATGGTGATGTTGGGAATTGAACTCCAAGAGCAGCCAATGCTCTTAACTGCTGAGCTATCTCTTTAGCCTCTTAAGAAGTAATTTTTAAACCATTTTTATCTATAGTCAGAGATTAGCAAACTGTAGCCCATGGGCCAAAGTCTGTCTTACTATCATTTTTTAAAATAACATTTTATTGAAATGTAATCATACACATTGGTTTTACTTATTGACTGTGGTTTCTTTGATGCTCTGAACTAAGAGTTGAGTAGATGACAGGGAAACTGGTCCATAAAACCTAGAATATTCTCCCTAGTCCTACCTATGAACAGGTGTATTTGCCAGTGCTTGGTATCTGAAGCTGGGGTGTGTGTGTCTGCCTGTAACACTATACTGTGTAACCACCACTTGATGACACAGAACAGTTCCAGCAGCCCAGAGAGTTCCCTCATGCCTGTTTGCAGTCATCTTCCCACTCCACTCTGTTAGTTTTAGTACCTCATATAAGTAGATCCAACCATTATATGTTCCTTTTGTTTCTTTAAGGTTACATTGACATGTCCTGGGCATTGGGTACAATCCAGAAAAAAGGATTAGGTCCTGAACACATTTGTGTAACGGTCAGCAGTGTCTTCTTATGTACTCATTTGTGTGTGGTGGTGTTTGCTTAGAATGACAGTTATACCATACCTGCAACTACATTTCACTCTTCTGTTGCTAAATAGTCTTCCACTGTTTGACTGGTGCCACAGTTAGACCCATTGGCATGGTGATGAGTTTATTCATTCGTCTGCTTGGCTTTGGAATTGTTTCTAGTTTGTTTATTCATCTTTTAGCTTTGGAACAGCCAGATCTGTTTCCATTCACCTGCTGATAAATTTATCTATTATTCACCTTTTGGGCTTTTGGATTATTTCCAATTTTGGTTAAGAAAATAAAGCTTGTGTGAACATTCATACACACTTTACCTAGAAAAGTGTTTTTATTTTTATCATGTAAATAGTTATAGTATTTCTTTAGCTTTAAGACTTTCTATACCATCCCTAAGAATATATGAAAGTGAGGCAAGTTCTGACTGATCAGCATTAGTTGATTAGTATGTCTAACATTCTTTCTGGAAAATTATGAGAGTGAGTGAATAAACATACAAATATGTACATAAACAGAAAAACTACCAGTGAATGGTTTCATATATAGTTGGATGTTAATAAATATTTTAGAATAGTAATAAGACTTTCCAATGACAGAGTATTTTTTTTCTCTTCATTAGGACATTTAAATATGAGGAATACTACCATGCACATTATGTCATTACATTATAACCCTATTGTGTAATGTCTCAGGAGGTATATAATGTGAGAGTGTGGGTGTACATCTGTCATTATGTCATATATGTTATAATCCTATTGTGTAATGTTTAGTTGTTTAGTGGGGTATATAATGTCTGTGTGTCATATTTATCATCCTTTAATACTTTTTCATTTATTACTTTTAGCTACATTGTGTGTGTGTGTGTGTGTGTGTGTGTGTGTGTGTGTGTGTGTCTTTGTTTGTGCGCACATACAGTGCTGGGGATGTGATCCACCTCTTGCTAGACAGGTTTTGTACCACTGAGCTGCATCCCAGCCCAAACTGTTGCTTTTATATTATAGGCATTAACAGTGTCTGCTTTGATGAAGAGTTGAAATACATAACTGCAATGAAATCCTTAGAGGGAGAAGTTGTTCCTTTAAAAAATAAAGTTCTTCTATCAAATAATGTAGAGGTGAGCAGTTCTTTTTCATGTGTGAAAGTGAAAAGAATGAACCATATGAAATTGTATAATTGAGTCATTTTTTAAGGTAGAATTTGTTAATGTAGGTTTCTAGGAAAAAAAAAATGATTCGCCTTGTTATCGTCAGAAAGTTTTGGCATTCAAAAGAATATTGCTTTTTAGTTTTTTGAAATATAGCATGCAATTATATAAGGAACTTTAAAATTCACTTTAAAGATGATTTAGGTAAACGAGCTGGAAAGCAGTCTGTTTACAGAACAGCCTCTTTGCTAGAAAGTGAACTGTTCAAAGGCCAGTAATGGACATACAGTTAAAGCTAACGATAGTTTGTAGCATGTTGATTTGTAATTTTCAGGTTCACATTTAGTTGGGCCTTGACATTTGATGGGCTGTTGAGTGTGTAAATGAGGTGATTGAAAGCATTGGAGTTGGCTGGGTAGCTCCCCTCTTGGTTGAGTTTGGCGTTTCTCTTTTCTCAGTTTTGTGGCACAGTGGACAGAGGAGGAACCTCAGCTTTAGTGTATCTACAGCAAAAGAGGAGCTCAAATTCTGGAAGCTGGTGATTGGCAGAGCAGGTGTCTGTGGCCTCACTGGGAGGCTGATTCTTGCTATTTTTTTCTTCAGACACAGTCTTGCTAAGTAGCTTTGGCTGGCCTGGTACTCATTATTTAGACCAGGTTGGACTCAGGCAGTCATCCTGCCTCAGTGTATTGAGCAGTAAAAACAGTTCAAAAGTCACCATGAAGCCTTCAGATTTCCACTCTTTAACTTCGGTGACTTTTGAACTGTTTTTACTGCTGGAAAGTACCTTAGAGATGAATGGAAAGCTGGAACATAGAGTAAATTTAGGAAGTAACGTTGACACCATGACTTGTAGTTTTTGCCTTTATTTTATTTACAAATGATAAACTGCTAAGTAGTGTTTCATAATCAATTTCTGTTTTTAAAAAGTATCATAATTAGAGCTGGGGGTGGTGGTGCATGCCTTTAATCCCAGCACTCGGGAGGTGGAAGCAGGCGGATCTCTGTGAGTTCAAAGCCAGCCTGGTCTACATAGTGAGTTCCAGGACAGCTAGGGCTACAGGGAGACCCTGTCTAAAAACAAAACAAAACAAAAAAAGTGTCATAATTTAACTGTGTGTGTGGGAGGGTAGGAATCCATGCTTTCTCCATGCTAACAAGTGTTCTGATACTCAGCTATACCCCCAACCCATTTTAACCTTATATCAGCTTAAATTTCTTTTTAAATTTTTAATAACTACATGATTAGAAGAAGCATTTCATTATAGCTTTAATATATTCAATAACACACTCCAGAACAAGAGTACATCTCTTTCACAAGTGACTGTAAGTTTCTAGGTTCACAGTTGAATTAATACAGTTGCACAATATTGAACTCAGTATAAGCCCTGTAAGACCTAAAATCGAATGAGTTTTGAACCTTTAAAAAAGATCTCCATTTCATTTTAGAATATATTGTTCATTGCAGAAAGACTCATTGTTTTTGCTACTAACATTGAGATGTTGGCACATGCATCTCTAATCTGTATGTGTGTGATTTATCACTAGTCATAATCGGTTGCGCTTGAATCCTTGGCGTCTGTGCATGCCTATAAAGTCATTGGGTAGATTTCAATGGTAATGTTTATCACCTCTACTAATTAACATGACATAAATTTCCATATATCAGCTTAAACTTTATTATGTTACCTATATTAACCAGTGATAGTCCTAGCTAGCCACAGATGGGAGTTTTCTTGTTCACCATCGTCTCAAGGAGTTAAATGTTTTCAAATTATTTAAACCACTTATCAATAAAGAATCATGTCGCATGTAATACATTTGAAGAATGTGATCAGTAAGGACTTTATAATCCCCTTTTCCAAAATGAAAGAATATGGTCAGTCATTAGATCGCATATTTATTTTAAGATGTGTACATGTTATTTTCCAATTTTATTTTCAGGCTTGGTTGAATGATTTGGCCTTGGAAATGAGGCAAACTTTGAAACAGTTGTTGAAAGAATGTATTACTGCTGGACGAAGTTCACAGGGTGCCATTGACCCTTCTCTGTTCCCTTCACAGGTAAGGGATCTTGTGTCTGAGATATAGGTAGGAATGGTGTTATGGATAGGTCCCTTATCTAGGGGTCAGGTGGCTCAGGTAACTGGCTTCCCTGTTCTCTGTCCAATACTTAACATTGATATAATCCTTGGCATCTGGGTCTCTGTTCTTTCAACTCTGAAATGTGGGGAGGAGCTGCCTAGGAGTGAGGTGGTCCTTTTGTTCCATCACTTGCTGTAATTCAGATACATCGAAGCAAAGATGTGCTGAGTTCAATTGCAGATTTGAAAAATATGTCTTTTCCCAAATTTATAAAGTATTCCTAAGCAAATTCATCTTTGAAAAATAGTTTTTTTCTTTCTCAGAAGCCATTGACTCTTTTATGGACATAATATAGAGACAGGAACCTGAAGCCCTGAAATCAAGGTTGAATACAATAAGACATGGAAATGACTAGCTTGAGAGCAGCTTTCTTAGATTATTCTTTAAAGTGTAGCATACAGTATTTTTATTGTTTTTCACTTGAGGATTTTATATTCATGGGCAGATTATGAGATTTTTCTGTAACTTGCTCACTAATGTAAATGGTTGATTATCCCAGGACTGTGTTTGATAGGTCCGTAGCACAGAAAACACAATATTTTAATCGCATTTTAGGTAATGGTTATACACTAGTACTCAGTTGTAGATCCATGAGAAAACATATGCTTAAAATAGAATAAGCTTAAAACAGTTTCCATAATTTCCTTTCTGCATATAAGTATATGATGCCTATTTTCTTTAAAATTGATTGGCAGGCCCGTGAAGTGTCTGTTTGGTAAGGCTCCTTGCTGCCAAGTCTGATGACATGAGTTTGATCCCTAGAACCCACGTGGGAGAAGGAGAGAACAGACTCACAGGTGCTGTCCTCTGATCTCCTGAGGTTTCACGTGTGAGTGCACAGACACAGAGGGACACACACAGACACAGAGGGACACACACATACAAATACATAAATATATTTTTTAAAAAGTGAATGGAACTTAGAGAATGTGCTCTGTACCCCTCCAGTACTCATTCAGTTGTTTCCCCTGGGGAGATGTCTGCAGTGATGTATCTGAAGCCATTTTTTCCTAAAAGGCTTAAGATAGATTGGTCTAATCTTTATTTTTCATTGTTCATAATTCTGGAGCTGGTACTGAGGTAGAGGGTGTAAGTTAGAAGGTTTTTAGTGGCACTTCATAAAAGTAAAGAGATACATATGTTAAGGGCTGCAGTAGGTTGTAAGACATGCACTGGTAATCACCCACAAGTGTATATTACAAGATGATTTTATCGTTTTAAATTGTTAAATTTCATAAGCTTATCTAAAACATACACTGAAAGTACAAAAACATTTCATGTAGAAACCATTTCATGTGAAAAGACTTTTTCTAGGGTGAATTTTAGCTCAAATATATGTATATATATACATATATATTCATATATATCCATAGCTATCATTCTGTATATTAAAATGTGAAGACAGCAGGTCCTGGACAGCTTAATGATGTGAGGTTTTAATCCTGTTTTTTTTTTTTTTTAA